CTAGTTGTCACGAGGTGCCACGTGTCGCAATTTCACTGGAGGGCCAAATCTGCCCTCATCAATATGTATATTTCTGAAATAAAGCTGATATATATATATATATATATATATATATATATATATATATATATATATATATATATATATATATATATATATTTCCACAAATATATATCTGAAATATATATATAGTAAAACTGATATATATATAATATATATCTAAGTCAGTTTGGGTCGGTTCGGTTAAACCAAACCGAACCATCGATTTATATTTTTTTGTAACCCAAAACCGATCGGTGCTGAAAAAAAACCTGCCAACTCAGATTGGATCGGACCAGGTTGGTCAGTTTGGGTCTTGTTATAAACAGCCCTACCCCCGGGTTGGGCTTTTCCTCTTTATAAGCAGAAAATGACYAGGCCTAAGCCTAAGCCCGACCCAACCATTAGGCCTAGATCTTGAGCCCAAGCTTGAAGCCCGATATAGACAAATATTTATATTTTATTAATTATACATTATTAATATTATATTATATAATTTATAATATTCTATATATTATAATATACAACACCTTTTTCAATACTAATTTTATTATTATATAATATCTATTTTATGTATTATTAATATATTATAATTTTTACTATATATAATATTATTGGTTCAAACTTATTTGGGAAAGCCCGAGCCCTACCTGAAAAATAGTCAGGCCCGATGTTTAAAGCTCGAGCCTGAGCTTATGGGCTTAAAATGTTGTTCAAGCCCGATTTAGAATGGACAAAGCCAAGCCAACCCGTTGGGCTACTCGGCCCCATGAACATCTAGTTTTGAGTGGCCAACTCCCCAACCCAACCAAGTTGGTTTAGTTGGTTAAACAACCTTCAATCAAACTGAAATGACCCATGAACGCTCCTAATTTTAGCTAAATTAATAGTCTAGTCTCTAATAAATAGCAATAGTTTAATCTCCAATAATTATTGAGAATTTATAGCAAAATTACACAATTTTGAAAATAAATTTATAATGAAAATACAACAAATAACTAATAAATATACAATGAATACAATAATTATGAAAACATAATAAATACTAAAAGTATATTAAATTAGTCAATAAATAGTGTAATATCCAATAACAGTTTAATCTCTAACAAATATAAATCAATAAATTATAACAAGAATACAATCAATCCAATAAGTACAATAAATTAAATTTAAAATTTAAATAATAATTTTTAATATGCAATAATTATTGAAAATTTTATGTTAAATAACAAAACAAAATTAGATTTATACATAATTGTTAAAAGTATATTTATAAAAAACTCAACAAATAATTACTGAAAATACACTAAATATTAATATTCAAAATATGATTTAGTTATTAATTATTTTACATTTAACATATATATAAATTATTTATTTACAATATTATTTATCTATTCAAATAATGCCATTATTTGTATTTCTAATATATTAATTATTTATTGAATTTAATAATTTTAAAAGTATAATTTATACTGTTATTATATAATTTTTTTATATTATTAACTCAAATATTATGAAATCTATTATAATTACTTTTTTACTTGTAAGATTTTTTTTTTAATTTATTACATCATTTCGCTGTTTTAATTATTTAAAATTTATTTATGTTAAATATTTCATTATTTAAAATACTTAGTTATTTAAATATTTAAATAATATGTAAAATATTTAAAATTTTTTATTTATATTTTATTTATTTTAAAGTTATTATGCAATATTAAATATTGTGTTATATAATTATTTATCTATTTTTAATATTGTTATTTAAAGTATTTAGTCATTGAATTATTTAAATAATATATTTTTAGTTTTAAATTTTTATTATGTGAATAACGTTTAAACAATTTTGTCATTTAAAATTTTAAAATATCATTTAGTTACTAAATTGAATAATCCATAAAAATATTATTTTTGTATTTATAATAAATATTTTAAAATTGTTACATAATTTCATTATAATATTTAAATAATTCTTAAATTTTTTAATGCAAACTTTTTTTAAATAGATATAGATCGAAAGCGGGAGAGGATAAAATGGAATTAAAGATAATTTAGGAGAAGGTGGGGGATAGTGTTGCCACTTGGCTTGATATTATAAAACCAAATCTCTCTTTCTTTCCTTGATAACTAACTCTCTTGCCACATGACTTAATGGGTGGGTTGGGTAGGGAAGAAGAGGAAATAGAGAGAGTGAATGAGAGAGCTAGAAAGGGGCAAGGGAGAAAGGAGAGAGGTTTAAGAATGGGGAATGGAAGGAGAGTTGGAGAGGGATGCTGACGTGGGACCTAATCCCTTTATAATATAGTATAGATTATATTTTTAATTTTTATATGTATAATAAGAAATAATTATATATACACATATAATTCTTTATATCTTTACGTTGTGCTCTTAACCAATGTTTTTGAACCGCTATTGACCGGGATGGTTAGACCATTTGGACCGGGAACCATCCAGGCAGCCAATTCTGTTTTACCCCAAACCCAGCCCCCGGCAAAAAACCATTGAATTGGTCAATGACTTATTGACCTAGGCGATCAAACTGCCAACCTGTTCAACTCATTCAATGGTTCTTAGCCATTTTTTATTTTAATTATTTTTATTTTTTTAACTTTTTGTCAAAACAGGCCATCCATTCGAACTGGACGATTGAACCGTCAACCCAGAAATTAGTGGCCAAAACAGTTCTGCTTCTGGGTCAGTTTTTAAAACATTGCCTTACACTGTAAAAAAGTAGAAATTATACATATAAAAGATTTTATATAATATTTTGTTTTTTATATGAAGCATGATTCACTGTCAAGATCGAGCCAAGTCAAATTCGAACGTGAGCTTTTAAGTCAAGCTGAATTCCATCTCATATTGTTCGAATTGAGCTCAAACTCTAACTTGAACCTCATTTTTTTCTTTTCAAAAACCAAGTTGAATAGCTAAATTTAAGCTCAGTTTGATTTGAATCCTTACGAATCCCACATCTGGCTTCATGGTTCAAAGTTTATTGGAATCAAGGATCATTGAAAGTTTGAAACGATAAATATTAAGAATTAGGGCATTTTAATATTTTCAAATGTTAATATCATCCTAAAACTTATATGTGAAAGAGAGATGTCGTTTCTTTCTCGTGTCTTTGCCTGGAATTTTCAAACTCAGTTTTCTTTCATAGTATGGTGACTGAAATCTGAATTCATGGTTAGGGTACTTTTCTCTCGGTGAGAGGATGAAAAATGCCTTTCTCAACTTTGGGCTCAAGTCATGATTGTCATCTTCTGTGGGGAACTGAAGTGGGGTGGCAAAAGTTTTTTCCCAATGAAAACGATATTCAATCATGCAATCCAACTCTTCCTGCAATCCATGTGGCCTGCTATAAGACCAACGACACCCAAATTGCCATTCAAACCCACAAAAAATTGAGCCATTAAAGTGGGGTTCACACAATTCTTCAATGGCTGAATTCAAAATGTACCAACTTTCCACCTGTGATGTGTTGCCCAATGCCAGTCAGACTCCCTGTTTTCCAAGCCATGCTGTATATATATATATATATATATATTCTATCCTGGCACACTAAACCCAAAAGATGATATTCAAAATTGTAATATAAATGGGCCTTGTTTATTCATTTGAGATGTCTTTTGTCCTGTGGATCTTGTCTCATCTACTGTCTATTCACGACTCTTGTTATATGGCAAAATATATGTGATACATCATAATAAAATCATGTCGGCATGAAGATTGAGCATATCAACCCTGTTATGGCGTGTTCAGCTTCAGCCCTTGGAATATGCCATCATGGTTGGCTACATGCCGCATGTCTGTCATAGTATGCTAACAGAACAATGTCTATTCAGAAAAAAAAAAAAAAAAAAAAAATTGAAAGGAAGATGGAACAGAGCATTGAGAAATGGGTATGCATGGGGCGTTTCAGGATTTCCATTTTCACCATTCCTTTTGAACATCTCGATATGCGAGACATTAAGCTTCTCCAGGCCAAAATAGAGAGATCCATTTGATGAACTTAAGTTACCAAAACAATTGTAATTTATAATTTTCAAATCTACATAATCTTGTTTTACTGATTGAATAACTGAGGTTGAAAAGAACATTTTGCAAGTAATACATATAGACCATGCAAGACAATGGTAGTAACAGGAGTCCAAAAGCTAACAAAGCATCTTACAAAATAATATAAATAATATGGAGCTTATCTAATAATTTAGTACTCCAAGTCAACCTTATATGAGTTTTCCCATGCATTAATAAGCAATAAGAACTTTGTGCAGGAACACCCTGACTTTGTATGCAACATTAGTTTACATGATTACATCATTATCCTTATTTAGTTATTTCCACAGGATAATCCCTTAACCCCTTTAGGTGATCCTTAGCATTTATTTCCACAATATAGTTTCCACCAAGAACCCTAGTCATGGGTTTCTTGAAGTTTGGGCTTTTCTTACTGGTACCCCAAGAAAGAGGTTAGTTAGGACAACTAAGAAAGAGGCTGGAGAAGCATGGGTGTTTGGAAGATTATTTTTATTAAGCTCTATCCTTGGTCTTGCCATTGAAGTGCTGACTATGCATTATATATTACGCATCAGGTTTATTCTTTTTTCTTTCTGCAAGATCAATTATAGCGAAAGATGATGCAATAGTTACAACTTGAGAGCTGATGTTTCCTCACTTGAAAACATATTAAAAGTTTTTTTTTTCCTTTTTATGTAAAAACTGTTTGCTTTTCCCAAGGTTTAATAGTTAGGGTCACCAGAATATGTGCCATCAAACATGTTCTTTCACATATTAAAAAAAAAAAAAAACTGATTTACTTTGGCTGATATATCTTAAACATTGTTTTTCTATTAGACCTCTTACTGTCCTCTTTGAGATGGGTCCTTCTTAGTGGTTGTTATCAAAGTTAGCAATATCTCAATATCATGCTCCAGTCCCACTTAGCTAGAAAGGAAAGAAGAAAGCAATAATGCTGATCTTGACTACATAACCAGACAAAAGATGCAATTCATTCCATAACCATAGGGTTCCTCAAGATTTATCCAACAATTGAGCAAAGGTGAGGACACTGTACCAGATGATGAGGATGGGGTATGGAGCAAAAGAATTCATTTAAAAAACCACCATATGCATACATGACTAGACCATCTCCCCAATTCCCATAAAAAAGTTGGTTTCACCTCATCACTCTTGAATATCATTTATGGAACCTACCCGATGGCATACCTTCAGACCTATTTAGCGGCAAGGTTGTGACAGTTCTGTTTGGGTGAAAAGTTCAGATCTAAACAAACCACTGAAAAGATAATCAACTTCTTTGTCGCTCCCATCATCGCTGGCAAGATAGGCACCAACATAGAGAATAATTCTTTCACCATGGAATGTTATCACCACCCTATCCATATAATTGAGATAACCTCCTCGATACCATCAGATGATCTGAACTTATGCTTGAAGAAACTTAATCTGTACGAAGCACATCAGTTTGTTGCCTGAATGCCCCAATTGTCAAGTAGGGTGATACAACTATGCAAGACATAAACAATGTAAACTGCAACAAACATCAGAATAAATGGTTATGTTCTACAAATATTCAGTTTTGCACACACAGGGAGTATAATCAACTAATCAAGCAAAAAGCATTTTGATCATACCAAAAGAGGGAGGGTCAAGAAACTCCAAATTGGCCATAAAGCAAAAGACAACCTACAAAAAAAGGAATTCAGCCAAAAAAAGGAAAACAACTATTAAGAAGCCAATGCATTTACCTTTTAATTGTTTCTTTATTATTTTTTTAGCAGAAAGGGAGGGGAGCTGGGAGAGGCATTTGCCTTCACAATGTAACAATTGCATGACCTAAAGAAAATAATATAAATAAAATACTGCTTTCTCTTACAAGCAAAAGGAGAAGAGTCCAAGTAAAGCAACAGCTGGAGCAGCTGATGGCGTTACCACTTCCCATTTCTCATCAGATTTCCAGATACCCCATGCTACAAAACTTGTATAAAAGAAAATCCCAACATTCAAGAAAAAACATGCCATCCCAAGGTACAAAGGCATCCTGAAAGTAGTATTGTGGTTAGTCATCACAGCTGAAGAGGGGACTAAACCTAGGTCTAGGGCAGATTAGCAGAAAACCAACATGAAAGTTACCAGTTGAGAAAACTGACAATTTTCCAATCTAAGATGTAAATGCAATAAAATTAATATTCTCATCAATACTTTTTAAGAAATGGGACACATAGCTATCAAGACTGTCCAAATTCTGCCCTGTCCTAAATTTGGCAATGGAGCAAAGTTTGGCATGTGTAGAAAATCCTACTCATCTAAATCCTAACCAGATAAAACAGAGCAGTAGGATCCTAAAGATGAAAGGTCCTTCAGCTTTTGGATCATTCAATCAGTTAGAAGCCTGATATGTAGCTAGCCCAGATTCACAACTTCAAAGATATTTACTAGGAATTCCAGTCTTACGTGCATATTCTTTTCGCTAGAGATGCTCAATCTGACGTTAGGATTCCACCAGTCCCAGTCATCAAAATAAAGCCAATAGAACATTTATAAAGTATCAAAAAAGAGTGAAATCCTTTATAAGAAGAGAACACAGTCTGAACCAATCATAAAGCTTTATATCTGAATTATATAATGATGCAAGAAAAACATGATATCCCCAAATTCAAGTAACTGAACCATTATTAGTCTTCAAAATAATGGTTCAGTTACTTGAACCTTTTCAGGATTTTGGAATAAACACTACAGCTCATGCTCCAAATCTTGTCAAAAAAAGTAGCTACTTTGGTAGGCATTAACAAAGGAGCTTTAGTTATGTAGCTTAAAAATTGAATCAGTTGAAATATGGTTTCAAGTGCAGCTAAAATTCTAAATCTATAAAATACAGAAACTCTATATGAATATAAAACAAAATGCATCTCATCATCGTGATGCTTCCACTTCCATATCTTGGTAGAAAGCAGCACTAAACCTTTTTCAACAATAAAGACTGTGTCCCCTTACCAAAAAAGAATACTACATTAATTGGATGCTAAATTTAATACAACACCCATCTCATGAACAAAAGCAACTATACATAAGGCACCACAGGTGCCCCATATATAATCAGTTCAGGAAACCAAACAAGGCTCTAAATTCAACAAAAATAGTGAGTACTAGTTAATCAGTTAAAGCTTCTTAGAAGGAAAGGACAAACAGTATGCCTTATACATGAGGAACAGAATCAATACTACAAAAAAGAATCTAAACCATATGTTCCCATCAATTCTCAAACAGTCAAAACAGCATCAATATGGTAGCAACAATCCATTAGTGTAAAGCTAGCTAAGCAACGCCCACCCATAGTCTTCTCAAAAATTATGCATTTCATAAACTTAATATGAGAGATAACTGAGACTGTTGAGAATTTTCATACCTCCTGATTCGATCATCTCTCCACAGCAAGTATATGAGATTAGATTGCCGATCACCAAAGTAAACAATGAAAGTTGCAGAAGCGATCCAAAGAACATTCTCCATGACATTAACCCACGTCCGAGCCCTTGGTAGTAGAGGCGTTGGAGGTGGTGTTCTTGAACATGCGTCATCCTCGAGGTCATCCCCACTGGAAGCATATCCCTGACTGTATCTCTGTCTCATTAATCCACCTGAAACTGGTGTTCCGCCCGACATATTCAGACAAGTACTAAAAGAATAATTTCTCACTCAGATTAATAAAAAAAGGTATGTCCAGTGCCAAACCCCACTTTGCAAATTAAATTCTCTACTAAGTATGAACCTTCTGTGACGATTGGTTTATTCTCAGGTACCTCTAATCCCTAATCAAAGAATTGCCTATAACTCAACTCAGGAAAAAAGACAACCAGAAAACAAATCTTAGAACCAATCAAATCTCTGAAAAATGAATACCAAGGCCATCAATCGCATGCATTACAAAACCCAAATCGCCACCTTCAATTTCTCGCCAACTGTAAAATCTTCTCACTGCGGAAAGATCATTTCAAGAATAACAAAATCTCTGCAACTCCAAAACCCTCATCTAATATAAATCTTCTCAAAAAACCCATATCATGCATGGCTCCATGAATTCGAAAATGAGATTAAATAGAACGGATTGGCGAAACAGGATCCATGTAGCCGACCCATATAGTTAGGATAAGAAAGTAAGCGATGAATGATGATAATGGTGATGATGATGATCCAAACCGTAAATTTCTCAACAAAACATCTCGTGAGCTGTGAATCCTCTGCAACCCAATGCCTCTGCCCGCCTCAAGTCACATTTGGATTGAACGACTCTTCGATATCCACGTCAAAGTTTCCTCTGTTTCTTCAAATCCAAAAACCCATTAACGGACCACCTCTCAAAATCAATATCCAATCAATAAAAGTCATGTAAAGACAAAAAGGGAATGCTGAAAACAACACGTCTCTTGTTTCTAATACTGGACCTCTGGCTATACTGCGGTGGCGACTGGCGAGTATGTTTTCAGTTTTCTTGGCAGGGGAGGAAAGGGATCTCGGGACGAGATTTACAGAGCAGAACTGGGCGGGATTCGTTTCGAGTTCCGAACATTGGAATCTTCGATACGATTTTAGAACATCCGGAGTCCGGAAAGAAGATTTTATGAATTTATTATTTCCCCTCAAACAAGATTTTAATATAAAATAATTTGAATTTTGGTGGATTAATAATTTAATAATAAAACAAGTAAAAGAAAAAAAAACAATAATACATTAATACTTAATAATCAGACTTTTTAGTTTTTACTCTTCTAATATCAAAATCAATTATCTATTTTAACTATTTTTATTAGAATAAAAAAATACTTTTTTTCGGAACAATGATACTGTTTACATTTTTTAATCCTATCAGATAATTTGAGAGATAAAAAGAAAAATTTTATTAAAAGAGAAAGAGAAAATATCAGATATTTTTCCCTACATCACATGGGTAAGCTAGTAAAAAAACAAGATTTTTTTTTCTCTTTTTTGTGTGTTTTTGGAGTTGTAATGTGGAAGAACGCTTTTAAAACAAAGAGTTTGTAGTTTGTACCATTCTTGAGTCCAAAAATAATATTAGAAAAAAATAAATAAATATTTGCTAGTTGTTTTACTAAAATCCCAATTTTAGTATACTAGTAATTAAGTACATGCATTGTACGTGAGAAATTTTTCTTCATATTAATTACTTGAATTTTAAATATATCATAGTTAAGATAGAAATTAAAAATTAAAAAAGATAACAATATGATTAAAAATAAACTTAAATATTTATTATTCAATTATGACATCATGTGTTTTTTTTTAAGTTAGACCATTGACCCACCATCTAGATAAGAATTGTAGAAATAGTATTGCTTTTGGATTAGTTTTAAATTAGGTGAAGTTATAGTCGGAGCCAACTATACATTTAAAATTTGGTTACAAGTTGGTCCATAAACCAACAAAACTCTAACAAACTGCTCTACATTTCAAGTTATAAAATCCCTCGCCATGTCATTCGAGGGTTATGTAGCTATTTCCAACATGGGACTCTTAATCCATATTGGACATAATAAAAAGCTTATACTGAAATTGCTCTTTAATGTTGGGTGATTGGAAAATAAAAAAAAGGGTTTTTAGTTTCTCTCTCTCTCTCTCTCTCTCTCTCTCTCTCAATCTCCCTTACACTGTTTCACTCATAGTCATCTTTATCTACTCAACGACTATCATGGTGTTTGGAAGTGTGGGCGCTTTGTGGGACCGATTTTCAAGAAAAAATGCCCATGCTTCCAAGACCCGTTTCTCACAAAAAAGCGCTTATGGCACATAGGCAATGAGCAACACTATGTTGTTTGGTAAGGTGATTTTCATCACCGTTTTTCATGTATGTGTTGACAGGTAAGCATCACATAGGATACACATCAGTCAACCCTTGGGGGAAACGGTTCACCGAATAATGAGATACATGGGCATTTGTTAAAATGCCTATGTGGATCCGGCGTGGCACCGTTTTTTGAAAAACGGCCATGGTTCCAAACATCCCCTATGTGGTTTGAAAATAAATAAAAATGGTTTTTGGTTTCTGTATTTACGTTCTCTATATCAATTTCTCTCGTTCTCTCTCTCTACCTATCGTTCTCCCTCAATTTTTCTCATTCTCTTTCTCGATCGATCTCTCATTCTCCCTTAATTTCTATCGTTCTCCCTCAGTTTCTTTCCCTCTCACTCTCTCATTTTTTTATTTTCTTATTTTCTTACACACTTATATGATATTAATCAGATTGTATGAAAGAACATGAGACCAACTTGGTATGGTTCAAAAATTATTACACCAATTTGATAAAATTCACAAGAAACTATTGGCTATGAAATTTACACCAATTGAAGAACGATAAAGATTGAGGGAGAAGGAGATTTTGACCAAGAGGAAGAGTGAGGGAGAAGAATGAAAAAGATTGAGGGAGAACAATATATATATATATATATATATATATATATATAGAGAGAGAGAGAGAGAGAGAGAGAGAGAAGTTTTGATTTGGCTATAGACCGAAGCAGAGAAAGTGGGAGAGACAAAGGGAACGGAAGATCGAGCGATGACTATGAGAGCAAGAGGGAAAGGAGGGAGTGGGAGAGAAACTGAAAACCTATTTTCGATATAGGTTTTCTGTTGTGTCCAACATGGAATAAGAGTCTCATGTTGGCAACAGCCACATAAGCCTCTAATGACATGGCAAGGATTTTTATAATTTGAAATGTAGAGCCAATTTTCAGAGTTTGGTTGGTTTCTGGACCAACCTACAACGTAATTTTAAATGTACAACCAGTTTTGAATATAATTTTTCGTTCAAATTATATATTTCATTTACATTATATAAAATATTTTTTTACTTATCACACTTAAAATTTTGTTTGTCTATGGTATCATATTACTCAAACCACTAACCCACCATCTAAAAATAAAAATTGTTTGATTTCTAGGTTGACATTAAATTTTGTATTACATTTCCATTATTGATAAAATTATTTNTAGAGATGTACCCAATATTTTATTTTTTATAAATATATAACATTAGATATGTACCCAAAATTTTCTCTTATCCTTTTTTTATTATTTTTGTGATTCTTTGTATTTTCTATTATTAAAAATTTTATTATTTGACTATGACATCATTTAATTTCTAGGTAGATTTTGAAATTGGCTTTCCATTTTCATCATTAATAAAAATATTTCTTACATTTCATAGTTATTTATTTTATTTTTTTATTATTTAATTATGGCATTATTTATTAATCCATTTGACTCCAAATGTCAAATTGCTTGCCCACCATCGGAAGGGAAGAAAATTGTTTTGTTTTCAAATTGCTTTTCAAAATATTTATTTTTATACTATTAAAAATAATATTGTGGATTTAACTACAAGAATTTAATGATGAGAAAATATAATTTAAATATAAGACTTAATGAGAGAGAATAGAAAAACATTTTTATTTTCAATTGGTTTTAAATTTTACATTTCATTTTCATCATTAATAAAAACATTTCTTATTTAATATACTTATTATTGTTTAATATGTATCTTAAAAATGTTTCCATTTTTTAATTTCTATTTTTTTTCATTTTATCTAGTTTTTAATTTTATTATTTAATCATGGAAGCATGGATTAACCCATTTGACCCAAAATGATTTAATTTCTTACCACCACTTAGATGAAAACACTATTTTTGCTAGGTAGATTTTAAAGTTATAAGCTTTTATGTTATTGGAATTATTAATTTATTAAGTATGGATTTAATTAATAGAACTTAATGACGAGAATAAATAAAAATGACTTAAATATATGATTCAATGAACATGAATGCAGGTTAATAACTTAAATGTTGGATTTAATGAGAGATGATTGAATGCATTGAATATATTTAAATTACCTCTTTTTAACTCATTTAATATCAAGAACCACTTACCCTATTTGCCCTCATTTTTTATCATTAAATTTAAATATAGAGGGATAAATATTATCCTTAAAAAATTTCATAAATATTCTTGGAGCCATTCCTACATTTTAAAGTAGTATAGATTTTAGGGGACGTTTTGATAACAGCCGAAGTGGCTGAACTGAAAATCTCGTTGCTTTAGAGTACTAAAAAAACCTAATTGCTTTGTTGTTTAGTGAATTTTAAAGTCAGGGGCTCCCTATAACAACTGAAGTTGGATGGGTTGCTATACTCTTAAATATTTTATTATTTAATTATTTTAAGATTAAAAGATGAAGCAAAAATATTCAGTTTAGGGCAGTTTGATAAAGGTTGAAGCGGCTGAATTGAAAAAACTTATTGTTTTATCTTTTAGTGAATATTTTATTATTTTAAGCAAGTTGAGTGGGTTGCTATACCTTTAAATATTTTATTATTTTAAGCATTAAATGATAAAAACAATATTGAACAATTTCAGCTGTAATCAAACGTCCCATTCGATCTTTAACTTTTGGCAATATCTAAAGAAGAAAAAAAAAAAACTCGGCTTTAAAATAGCACGAGCCATCTATCCCGAAATAAGAGGAGGTCAAATGGGTTGTGGGTTGGTAGTTGTTGGATTCACATTCCTTCTTCATGGAAATCATTAAAATTCTATTAATCAATTATTTAATAATACATATACTTTATGATTTTTATGTCATTATTATATTTTTTATAAGTATATTATCACTATATTATAATTAAGGGTAATTTTCTCGATTACATAACTGCATGCTTGACGATAACTCTCCGAATTCTTATTTTCCTTTTTTTTATAAAAACCAAGAAAAAAAAGAAGGAATTAATAAAAAGATCTTATTTTTCTTTTCTTCTTCTTTTGGTTCTTAATCATAATCGTGACATTCCTTGATCTTGACTCTTGACCGGTTGGAAGACGATTGGTCCTAATTCAACACCTGATGGCCACGTGGATAAATGGTGGGTCCAGAAGAAAACCACACCAAGATATTCAATGCCATGTGTCAAATCAAAGATGAAAATCCTTCATGGTTAACGTGGACGTTTTAACTTTTATATCGAGTCATTATAATAACTGAAAGTGTGAAACATTGGGGTTATTCGAAGTGTACTGGTTGTACACGCAAGGGTATAGGGCGTAATCTTTTACCAACTTGGGCCCCGTTTTGTGTGTCTTTTCATGCAGTTATCGATTTTTTGTTCAATCATCCGTGTTTTAGTCTTTTTTCCATTATGTTAGAAAAATATCTAACCGCCACAAGCTACAACCCTAAAAAGACACGAAGTTTATTTCGAATGCAAAAACTCACATCATCTTTGAAAATTTTTAAAAGATCTTTCAAAAGAGACTTGCCAAAAAACCCCTTATTTTTTGTACTATAAAAAAAAAGAAAAAAGAAAAAATGAATTACTAACCGTAGTTGCCAATTGCCGTCTTCATTTAATTAAGGGAAAAGGCTTTATATTCATATGCTTCATGAGCATGAAGTACTGTTACTCAAACCATTGGCTTTAATTGCAGAGGTTGACCTTGCATTGCAATTGCATACTTGGTCTTGTAATTTGTGTCACCATCACCTAATTTGTCCTCATCAGTCATCACTAGGCATGGGCAGGGCAAGGCTTCAGGCCAATCCATGGTCGTTATTGCTTCCATTTGATTCGTCCTTATCTGCTTTTCCTTGAATGATAATCCACCTCATGACGTCTTTGTTTCAAACAAGATCATCAGAGATCCTGCTTCATGGCTGTGGTAATAACATAGCTACACGTTATGGACATGAAAAGTAAATGGTCCTAATAACAATCTCATCGACAGTCAAGAAGAAACAGTTAGGTGGGTTGAAGGGAAAAAGAAGAGAAATTTTCTTTCAAGACTACAACACTTCACAATAGGTCTACAAACATTGTTATTTCATTATAATTACTCTAACAAGCCTTCTGCTAGCTATCAGATTGAACGGAGGGGGTATATGGGTGAGAGATCAGACAAACATATGGCTTCCGCTGCTATTGCACAAGGTGACCAGATCCATCAATGTTGAATATAAGGCTTCCAAAGACAAGTGTCCTAGGAATCTCCTAGTATCAGAAGCATCGCTGGAGAAGTCTGTGTGAAGCTTACCCTCCTCCATCAGCCCATCATCCATCACCAACCACCATGAAATGCAGCCTTGTATATCTTCAGGGTCCACATGTGCAACTAGACCCAACGTTTCACCCTGATCCAACTCGAATGACAAGCATAGGAAGTCACGGCTTGCCTTCATTCCTACCAAAAGAGCTTCCTCATGTAGCCAACGAACAACTTGACTTGCAACCTGTTGCAGATTGTCATTATTTATTTATTTTTATTAATTATATATAATTTGTGATTAATGTAAACACGTATAATTATGTCAATAATTAATTAAACATTTGGCCTAGGCCATTTTATAGTGGGATGGCTGTTATATGACTGCTTGGGATCCTGGAATTAGAGGAGTATAGTTAAAAGACAAGAAGGTTCAAATGTGTAAATAAATTGGCCATAAAGTGAACTACTAGTTGAGAGAGCAAATATGTAGTTGTAGTCCTCTAAGGTGTCTAGACACAGGATTCTGTCTAATAATAAGTGGAGGAGAGCTCATGTTTTCAGCCTTCAACCAAGTATGTGATTTTTTTCTTCCTTTTTTGTCTTTTTAATTAATACATTAAGTGACAAATTTGTCATTTTGTATTTGACTGGGTCAAATGTGCAAATAAATTGGCCATAAAGTGAATAACTAGTGGGGAGAGCAAATATGTAGTTCTAGTCCTCTAAGGTGTCTAGACACAGGATTCTGTCTAATAAGAAGCGGAGGAGACTAGGAGAGCTCATGCTTTCAGCCTTCAACCAACGATGCGGTTTCTCTTTTTTAGTGTTTATTTATATATTCAGAAAGAAATACCAGTTACAGAGATCCAGATGCACAAACTGTCAAGTATCACAAGAATAAAGATATACCTGTTGCAGAAGTATCACAGGGAGATCTGGCAAATTACAGTCATAACTGTTCATAGAGCAGATATCCTCTGCACTGCCCTTAAACAGCCCAACAACATTAGGTGCACCCTCTCCCTCTATGTTGATGCAATCATCATTTACCACGACCTTGGTAATGAACTGTGACCTGACAGCACTCTTTGTGCTGCGCATATCTGAAGGCCTTGTTCGATGACCAGCATGAAGAATGGATTGTGGAACTTTCATTGAAAGTGACCAGGAAGATGTCCGAGAGTGCCACGTAGGATGAGATAACAAATGAAGATATGAGACCCTGCTGGCCTGTAAGAAGTTCATAATCTCATCATTATTGGGGAGAGTTTAGGAAAAGATGAATAAGAATTTATTTATTTTCTTATTGACATGTAACAATAAATCAGGTCCAATACCAGAATTTCCAGCTCTGCCAGAACCTTGTTTGCAAAGATTCTATGAGCCAAAGTCATACAGAAGTGACCCAGAAGACCAAATACATCTGTTACAGGCTGACCAGATGCTTGAATTCGACGAACAGAATGGCGTCTGTCCTTTGCTCTAATGAACATATTTTCATGGAAAATTTGTTGAAGATAAATTTCACAACTGACTGGATTAGGAAACCTGGACTTCCTTTTAGGGGTAACATACTTCTCTTCTGCCATCTTCACCCCCTCAAACATGTCAACAGATGAATCTGCATTTCCCAAATTATCACTGCTTGCATTGTCCACTGTTTGATCTGCATCTTGCCCAGAAGGTACAAGTGAGATATACACAGAGGCTCCTTGACCTATCCTCAGTTGTAGATAATTTTCCCTTAATCCAATCACATTAACTCCAGAAGATGAATTAAATGCTTCACGACTCACCAAATCAAACACCTGGAAATAGAAAATTTTAATTAGGAAAAAAGAAAAGAAAGTGGAAAGAGCAATGCATAAGGGAGATCATTAACAAACCTACCTGCTCATCAAAGATTGCTCGATGAACTTCACGAAGGACAGAATGTGTTTCTTTAACACATTGATCCACATCTTGCTCACTCATAGTCTCTTTTTTTATTTCTTCTGACTGATGCACATCTGATGCATAAATTTTCACTTTACTGGATTTCCCAGGTTTGTGGCCAGATTGGCCACCGAGAAACCCAAAATGAAGAGAGTGGCACGACTTTTGAGGTAAGTGTACAGCCAACATGCCTGCTGAGTCATGGTCAACACGAACTGTAGATATTGAAGGTGGACGAAAGATAGCTCCCGGATCAGATAATGAATTATCAAATAAATCAATTGTGAAGCCTTCACTGCCAGGTGCTGGAACTGGCAAACGTTGTCGTTTGACCTTCCAGTTCTGCTGCAACCTATCAGATTGTTAGAAAATAAGGTTGATATGTATGCTGCTAAAGAGAAAAGATGTGGTGATTAGACTTAACTTGGGCAAGATGAGTGATACACACATATCACATGCAAGAAAGTGAGCTCAGCAAAAGTTTAGGTGTATTGTGATACACTAAATCGTAAAGTCCTAAAAAGCAAACTGGACAAGAGTTTAAGCCATTTGACTGCTTAAGGGTTTAGAAGGAAGAGAAGGGAGAAGGAAGAAAGGAAGAAGATTAACATTGCAGCCATCTTGATTGTTCCCCTTCTTCCGGTTTCTGTGCTCAAAAACAGGGAGTCTTCTTAACAGGCTCTCAACTTTTGCTTGTATTCTGAAGTTCTATACCTCTAGAAAATTGATGCGCAACAGGTATTTTTTGTGTGATATTTATTACTGCAAGATCAATTGAGTTCAATTATTGTTTCTTATAATGTTGCTTAATTTGTTTGTTAGGATTTATGAACTTGGGATTGTTTATGCTCCATTAGGTCACATTTTATTATATTTTCTATATAAAAACAATAAGATCATGAAAAAATGTGGCATGTGATAGGCCCCAATTAACCTTACGTATGCCAGGGAGAGGAAAGGTCAACAATCAGCTAGGGGGGGGAATAATTGAACAATTAATCACATGAGGGCAATTATAGCTGGAGGGAATAAGGAGAGTCTTGGGGCATTTATAGCTATGTCAGTTATGAAAAAAGAAGAGTTTTTGGGCATTTATAACTAGGCCAGCTGGGCATTTATAGAGGGAGTCAGTTATGCTATCAGAAGAGTATAAGAAGGGGCTTTGGGGGATAGGGGGTGGCATGTTTTTCTTTGAGTAAAGAATATTGTGAGTGTTTGGGAGATTTGGCGGTCTCTCGAAGAACCGACCAACTGTTTATGTTTTCTGCTGAATGAATACTAGTCTCTTTTGTTGATGTTTGAGTGTGTGAACGCTGCTGTAAGTATGTGAACTGTGTGTCAAATTTTCGGGACATATCAGTGGTATCAGAACTCGTCTTTCCTCGGCCATGGTGACAGTTAAGGAAGTGGCATCGCAGGTGGAGGGTTTCGAAGAACGCTTGACTTCTCTGCATTCTGAATTTTGTGTAGAGATGGATGGCTTACGCAATGAGATTCAGGAACTCAATCCAAAAAAGGTAGCATCTGGACTTTCGAAGATCTCGTCTCTAGAAAGGTCGGTACAATCTCTAGAAGGAGGCGTTCAAAATCTGGTGAGACGTTTTGATCCTGTTGCTTCAGCAACAAGCCTATTCAGCTCCTTTGTCCACGACTGACATTGCTCCTCCTTTAGTCACATCGAGTCGTGCGGCTGACAAAGGGAAGAGTGCGGCATTTCCGACGTCTTCTTTGATGCCGGTGCCGGAACATACTCCTGATTCACTACCCAGGAAGTTGGAGTTACCCATTTTTTATGGGGAAAATCCGGACGGCTGGCTTTTCGTGCAAAATGCTATTTTGAGATTAATGGATTGCTTCCGGCAGAGCGTCTGCGTGCTGCAGTTGTCTGTTTAGAGGGCGATGCATTGGTGTGGTATTACTGGGAAGATGGTCGGCGACCTTTTCGTGGTTGGACAGAATTCAAAGAGCTCCTCCTTGAACGTTTTCGATCGACTCAGGAGGGTAATTTA